TAGGTAGGTAGGTAGGTAGGGAGGGTAGGTAGGTAGGTAGGTAGGTAGGTAGGTATGTATATGTGTGTGTATGCATGTATATGTATAAATATATATATATATGTGTGTGTGTGTAGTATGTATGTATGTATATATATATGTACATACATATATTCACACGTATCCCATAGAGCATGAAAACGCAGGTATGTATATGCGTTATCCTGACAGGAGCTCGCAGGTGCTAGCTATGCACATCCTTGGCCCTTACAGCCCTGGGAGCTCTCATGCAGTAGGTCTCCCCCCCCCCCCCCCCTCCAAAAGACATACAAACAGCCATATTCCTTCAATGGCCCTTCCGCCCCGCACCACCCCCTCCTGCAAGTGTTGTCGGTTTGTGATAACGCTCTTGCTGAGCTGCTGCTCTAACAAGCCCAAGCCCCCGGGGATAATTTTCGTAGTCGACCAATCGAGTGAAGCCTGAACCCCAGTTGGTGCCTGAGTGCTGCTCCTCCACTTGCGCCGATTCGTGCAGCTCCTGCTGGGAGCTCAAAAGATGATAGTTTAAGGTTTGGGGCTTAGGGTTTCGGGTTCAGGGTCTACGGGGGTTTAGGGTTTAGGGCTTCCAAGGAACCCTTGATCAAAGACATGGGCTTCATCCGGAGTCCGGAATCCGCGAAGCCTACCCGGGGATGCCCCAACCACAAACAACGCCCCGAGCCCGAAAGCCCCCCGGCCCCCAGAGTTCTCATACGCCTAAGCCCTATGAACCTTAACCCTTGTAGAGTTCGAAATAAGGGAAGCAGAGTTCTCATACTCCTGAGCCCTATAAACCTTATACCCCTTAGAGTTCGAATAAGGAAAACAGAGTTCTCATACCCCTAAACCCTATAAACCTTAGCCCCTGTAGAGTTCGAATTAAGGAAAGCCACTCTCTTACGAGTAGGGACTGGCTTGGCCTGCAGCTGGAGATGTGCAACGTCACCTGGCGAGCCAGAGCCCTCCATTCCGAAGAGGTTGGAAGACGTTTAGGGTTTCGGGGTTTATGTTTATATAGAGGTTTTGGGGGTTTACAGTAGGGTTTAGAATACGTTACATGGCTTGGGGGCCCTGCATCTTCGAGGCTCTTTGGACCTAGTCGTATCTGCTTGCTGCAGTCTACCGGGCGTCCATGTGGAGTTAAGGCTTTCTTGGGTGTGCCTTGTTGGGGGGTTGAGGGTTTATCGAGACCATCGTTTTTGTTTTGTACTTCTTGCACTGTCAGACGTTGAGATGCTGAACTGAATGTGTGCAAAGCCTACTTCGGGCGGGTGGGTGGGCGGGCCTGTGACCCATGGCTCGAAACAACTGTCCCTGTTGGTGGCTTCCTTACGTCTTTGTCACGGGTCCCTAACCGTAATGTGGCTTTTGACAACACATCTTGAGAGTCGATGCTGACTGCTTTAAGGAGACTAAAGATCCAACGCCTCCCCAAACCCGAGGAATTTTCTAGCCTCACGCCCCCAGCCAGTGAAGCCCCAACAATCCGAATACCACAAGCCCTAAGCGCCGGAATCCAAACCCATAATGCCTCAACTACCGCGCAACTATTCAAAACCCTATGTAGCTTAAACCCCGCCGCATCTGGGATCTTCAAAAAATCATCGTACAAACCCTTAAACCCTCGTAACCCTACACTCTACACTCGAAACTTCACATCAAACCCTGATGTAGCAACCTGATCAGAAACACTGGCCCTGTACTGACACCAAAATATTCGGATGCATAGAAAGACCCTAATACAGACCCAGGGTGTCTTAAAATTGGGTTCCTAAATATAACTCAAACCTCGCAGGGATATCGGGGCCTCTGCGCCATCGGTTGCGCACGAGGTCGCCATCGCTACGCCTTCGCTGTGTCTCCGAACGACCGGGGAAGCCTCGAACAGCTTTCCGGGGCTTAGGGTTCAGGGCTTCTAATTTAGGGTTCAGGGTTTAGGGCTCAGGGTTTAGGGTTCAGGGCTTCTAAAGGGTCCCTGTACACTCTCACAACTCGGACAATCCAGGGCGAGGTCCATGGGACGCAGTCGGTGTGAAAACGAGCAAAGTTAAGGGTTTCGGTTCAGGGCTTAGCATAGGGGGCCTTACTACTCGTGGTCGTGTTTCGGGTAAGCTATTCTATAATTACATGAAGGTACCCTCAATAATGGTCTCATTGTGAAATGACTCCGACCCCACATTGTCGTCTTTAAGGGCCTTAACTCGCGATTCCGGGATTTAAGGCAAAAGGTTTACAAGACCATGTTCTTGTAAGGAGATCTTGACCGAGTGGCGGTGGAATCTGGGGGTAAGGGCGATTCTCTAAATTCAGGCTTTCTGGGAGCACGGCCAGGAGAGTATGTCACTTTGATCGGCTTCAAGTCATACGGAAGCCTGAAGCCCGTGCTGGCAACCAAACTCCACACTTCCAATCCCAAAGCTTCTCTGCCAGGGAAAATCCACCTAAACCTTCCATCACACCTCCCCTGTAAAGGACTATAGAGGATTAGGAGGGGTTCATGTAGGGCACCTAAAAGTTTAACCAGATCCAAGTTTAACCAGATCATACCAGATCCGACTATAACCGTGGTGGTTCACAGCCTAAACAACTGGCTTTCCTCGGACTGATAACGAGAGCTGCAACAAAACAAGTCCCACGATCGGAAGCGTAGGGCTTGGGCTTTTCGGGCTTAGAGAGCTTATGCCCCAATCATCTCGGCCCGACAGTCACCTCTGGAACAACCACCCTGCGGTTTGTAGATCGGTCCAGGTCAAGCACGCTGAACCCGGAAAGCCGCCTTGACATGCCGGTGTTGGAGCCCTGGCTCCCTGAGGCAGGAGGAAGGGCTTGCTCCTGCAGCGTGGAACTGAAACATCGGTTTGGAGTCTGAGTTTCTGGGTTGACCCACGACTAAAGATGGATGAAGAGGGCAAGTGTGTACGTAGGAATACAGTAGAAGCAGCGAGCTGCACATGGCCGAGAAAGAAAGGCCGAACCACCCCACAACAAGGACGAGAAGATACGGGGCTGTACTCAAAATATCTGATATGGGTTGGGCCTACATTTTAACTATGGTGAGGAACCCTGAGGGACAATGTCAAGTCTGTATTCAGGCTTGCATAATTTAAGGACTTTGCCAGGGTCAGTCTGCCAAGTTTCTATAACGATTTCTACAGAACCCTAAGGCTCCATGTACCCAAATAGTATATACATTGGCCCCAAAGTACTTATATGGGGACTACTTTAAGGCCAAAGTATATCTATTTGGCTACATGGACCCTTAGGGGAAGGTCCTCCCAAGGCCCTGTTTTTTTTGCGGGGGGTTTGGGATTTGGGGATTCAGGGTCTAGAGTGTAATCTTCGGAGTTTCGGGGTGTCTTCAAAGGTTTGCTTCGGAAATTCTCAAGGCTTTACGTGGGATCTAAGCCCTAACAACCCTGCAACACCGATGCCCGAAACCTGAACCCTAAACCCTAAACCCCTCAACCGACTTACAGCCCTTGGGCTCTATAAACTCAGGCTTTGAGCCCTTGACCCGGTCTTGAAAAACCGCTCCTGTGCAGTGCCGTCGCTGAGGTGCTGCGACCTCGACAGCTAAGTCCGTAGGTTGCTTTTTTGTTTGAAATCCTGTTATTTTTTGCCCACTCGCAAGGTCTACATGAAGGGCTTAGAGTTTGGGGCTTGGGCTTGGGACTGGCATTGGGGGTCCAGCATGTAATTGCAAGAAATGTTGCTGGTTTTCTTCGGGCCTCTGCTTTGCTGTTGCGGCTTCGGTGACTTCCGCGGCTTCTTTCTTTCTTTTATGGAAGCCCCCTGCAAGGACCCTACATTTAAACATAAGGTCTTCGGACGTCGAGACACAGAATTGAGTTGGGTCGAGGCTTCGGTATCTTAAAAGGGAAGGCCCACCCCGACATCCACTTCTCGCTAATCTTCGGAACTCCCAATCAGCCGCTGACCCCGGCGAAGGCTGCGAGGGCTGTCAGTGCCAGGCTGTCCTGCGCTTTCTCGGCGCTGGGAGACGGT